CTGGCGTGGGAGCGCTCCCTGTGCCCGCTGCTAGGTGCGTCGGGGGAGCGCCCTGCGGGCGGCTTCACCGCGCCGAGGAGCGAACGTGCCATTGATTCCTCGGATCGAAATCGGACTTTGAAATTTACGGTCCAGGCGCAGTCGGAAATAACGTTTCATTTCGAGTTGAACCTGGATGCGATCATGCGCCACACATATGGAAACACTCAGGTAAACGATTTATTTTAATATTGTCTTTTGGCAGCTGGAACTTAATCTATTTTATTTGTACCTCTCTGCAGTTACCTTGCTGGATTCCAGGTCAGTTCAGGGAGAACTGGGGTGGATAGCAAGTCCCCTGGAAGGAGGGGTAAGTCTTAAACCGCTATGTGATCAAAAGGGTAAAGGGGGTGATTAGTAACTTTCAGAGAGTCCTAATGGCTCGATTATTGTTGATTGTGGCAAGGAGGTCAGATTTCTTCCCTGGCTTACCAAGTGAATTACTCTTTGTTGGAGAAACTCTATACTCCCTTTGGATAGTTCTGTCATGGAAGAAGTGGAAACCAAAAGGGCAGAAAAGAGGTTTCAGGATTGGGAGATTGGTTGAGGCATAGGCTTAGATGCCTATTTAAAACTGAAATACCAACAAGAAATGTGATCTGGCAACTGAACTGGTGTTTTTGACTGTAATTATTATACCTGTGGGCCGTCTTGGCTGGGAGATGTTCAGGGCAATTGCTATTTTATTTCTGGATGAAGGAGTAGGGATCAATATACAAGATAGCCCTGTTGGCGTAGCGGGACAGTTGTCCTATTTCAGGATGTAAACATCATATATTTTGGCCTCTGAATAGATAAACTAAAGCACCCAGTGCTTGACTGTGATTCCTTGGAGTTTGTTTATTTACTTTTCAAAGAGACGGTTCCAAGAGACGATTGCTTGAATTCACTGCCCGACGGTGATGTGATGACATTAAGAGATTCACGCGTCTGTCGCCGGGACTTAGGGCCCCTTTGCTTAGTGAGCTGCAGGCAAGGTATCTTTACTAATTTAGCTTTATATTAGTGGATAGGCACCTTGCTGCTCCCTGACCTGTGCCCCATCCTGCAGGGTGCCCAGGGCCTTTGTGAGAAACTTCTGAGAACACTGGACTTGGGAGTTGGTGTGATCTGATGGAGACTGTGCTTCATGGGATCTCTTGACATTTTTTTTAATAAGCAATTAGAAAGGCTTTTTCTTAAAGTGAACAATTTAAAAAAAACCGCCAGCAATGCACACTAAACACTAATACATAAAAAAACCCCTCAAACACCTCAAATCCTTTTAATATGAAATGAGTAAAGCTTCTTAGTATGCTTAAGCAGAAGTAACTAAGTCAAACTGTTGGAAAAGTGAAAGTGCTGGAAGATCAGAACCTGTGCACAACAAAGCACTGGATTCTTCAGGAAACCTACAAATTTACTTTCTTGTGTGCGTTCCCACTCGTAATTAGAAGAAGCAGAGCTAAGGAAACAGCAGTGAGTGGAAGGAATCTGAGGTTGTGTTGGCTGGTGATGCATTATGCATAAGCTCTGAATAACCATAACATGGGAGAATGAGGGATTGTTTTGTTCCCCCATTGTTGTTCTGGGTGAACTTGACTACAGTCCTGGCTTGTGCTCTGCCTAAGCACGCTGTGCTGTCCCTGCAACTCGGTTTTTCAAAGAGTGGGGAGGTGATTGGCAGGCCTCTGGCAGTGCCGATGGTGCGCATTCACTGCTGATTGCAGGCAGTTGCCCTCCTCTTTTGACAGTGCAGAAAGGTATAGCTCCATCTTGGGGACAGTTGGGCTTCCTTGTTAATCCTGTACCCTGGAAGGGTCAGTGAGTGAGACAGGGTCTTTCATACGGCTCTCCAAGGGATATCTATGCTGTACATTAAAACAGGACCTAAAATACAAGTTTTAATAGGTCAGTAGCAGAATTGATGATCAGAGGACAGCTGTACATTATTAACAGCTGTTGGATTCCCCCTTTTCCCTCATGTTTTCTCTGAAGGCGTCATGCAAGCTTGAGAAGGAAACGTGTGCTCTTATTGTGGACGTGACTCGTTTCACTAAACCTACATATGTGTGTTCTATTTTTAAGCCAGTAGTGAAAAATTTAAGAGTACATGGTCTGTCTCTGAGATACAGTGCTTGGAAAGCATTTCTTTTAACTTCAGATGCTGCAGATTTATTTCAAGCAGCAGAAATGAACTGCTTTGTCTTCCTAGGAAGATTCTGTCCTTCAATGCTACTTTTTCTTTAACTGTGTGTACCTGATCATTGATTAAAAAAGGTATTTTTCTAGATCTATACCTCGCAGTTCCTGGGGTGTGAGTGTTGTGTGGATAAGAAGGGCTGGAGATAAACGTGGTCATTTAGCAGTGACTAGCAATAATCGAATATATAGTAGCCTGGAGGAATTAATGAATTGCATTGTAAATGTAATTAATGATTTAGTCTTGCATTTCACAGTTGAAAAGCAGGTTTTGTGCCCAGAATGTCTTACTCTGCATCACTAAACCGTGGGAAGAGTTGAATTTCAGCTTGAAAGCAAAAAGTTACAGCTTTGACGACATACTTTGAGTAACAAATCATTTACAGTGGCTGGAAATTTGGGGCTGTGGTTATTTTCAGCTCTGGCAGTAAGACACGCATAGGTTTGTTTTGTGTACATGTGTTTATGAAATAAGCTCTATATATTTGTGTGTTTGTCAGGAGATGGGTGCGTGTTGAGAACCTGATGTGAAACTTGCTGAATTTAGTTGCAGTCTGTCCGTTGACCTCAGCGGTCTCTTTATTGAATCCTCTAGCAGCATCCTCCATTGTGTACATGCACTAAAGGAAATCCCGTCAACAAGTATTATTTCCCTCTGCTTCTTCCTTTCTCTTGTACTACACACAATACAGGTAGCGTAGACAGTCTGAAGATAAGCAGAATGGAAAGTGATGGATCATAAAGACAGTATTGTAACAGTAAACTAGCTCTGTGGCAGCTGTAAATTAAACAACTCCGTCTTCTTACTAACTCCATGTCACACTTTACATTGACAGATGACTTTTTAAGATTTTTTTTTTTTTATTTTGTGAAAAGGAGTAACATGCTGTGTATTGATTTCCCTCCTCCTTCATTTTAATTTGCAGTTATCTCTAGGCAGCAAATAAAATATTATTCTTTCTGCTCCTAGTGACTCATGGTGCTAGCTACTGTCATTCTATAAACAGATTCAGCTAAGCTGGAGGCTTTTTAAGTAAAAATCACTTGCATAAGAGCAATCCTTGTGAGAAGAATGCAGAATATTATACAAGAAGCCCCTTAACATTAAGAAGGTTTCAATTTATCAAAGCCATGGCTTCAGTAGTTCTGAAAAGCACTTCTGGGAAATCTCTTTAAAGTTACTACTGTTTTCCAATGGTAATTTTATATACTTCATTGTATTGCCTGCAAACCCAGACAGTATATAATTTTTTTTTTTTTTTTAAGAAGGATTTTACTGATTCTGAAGCTCTCTGGGTTTTTGCTGGAAAGATATCTCTTCCCTAATGCCGCTATGTTCCCCTCTCTCCCTACCAGGAGAGCATTGTGAGAAGCTGTCTTCTGTCTATGTAATCATTAAAACAATTTTTTTGGAACCTGTTGATTATGGGTGCTTTCCCGTTCTAAGTTCATCATGCTGAAATACTGAATTAGGTCCAGATCTCTTCTTTCCATACCTTCCTTGGATTGCATGTATTCTTGTTTCATAGTTATGCTGCCTGTTAGTTTGGCATTTCTGAAGATTCCTGAACTTGATCTGAGGTGTAAAGAGTTTTGAACCATGTTGCTACCTTGATCTTTCAGCACGTACCCTCTCTGTTAACCTTTTGGGTTTTTGAGAATATGAATTTAGCTATTTCCTGACAATTCCTTTAGGACAAGATAAGTAACATGCCTTTTCCCATCTTTCCACTGGTAAGAAACTTTGTTTGGATAGCAAAGTTATGGCAGTGTTGCTGGTTGATGTCTCCTTGCCTGTTGTTCCATGTCTAAGTGCCACTTGAGTCCAGGACTCAGTTCTCTGTAGACAGCTATTTCTGCCCAGCTCCAAAGTAAAGACTATTTGCCAGGTGTGTCTGGGATATTGCCACCCGAGAAAAGTAGCTGACAGCTTAGAGAAATAATAAGGGGTAGCTTAAGAGTTTAAAATATGTGGTAGCGATGCCAGGAACATGGATGTTACTCTTTCTGCCCTGTGCTTTATGTGCAACTGAGTCTTGCGATCTCACTGTTTGATATTCCCACATACAATGTGGAGTCCATGTGTTACCTGCCTTGTCTGCCACAGGGGAAACACTGTAGTGCCAGTGCTGTATTATGAGTCTGTAAAGTGCTGCCTATAGCCCTGATGTAGGCAGGGTCCTGTGGACTTAACTGCAGTGCAAATAAACAGTCAGTTGATAGAGCATTCTTGGATTGATTCAGAGGGCCCTTAAGACGCATGCTTGCTCCTCGAGGTGTTACTTGATTTGGAGCTTGTTTCTCCTGAACAGATTCTTCTTTTAATGTCCAAGTAGTTGAGGTTGTCTTTGGCTTGTTCTGTTGGAGGGAGGGTAGTGGTGGTGTTTGTTTTCCTGAAATTGAAAAAATACATTCTCCATGTTAGTTGTGGAAGTGCAGATTATGTTTGCTGTGAAGCTCTATTATTCCTTTTAAGTGATGTATTTTTTTCCCCTTTTCCTCTTTGCAGTGGGAGGAAGTAAGCATTATGGATGAGAAGAACACTCCTATCCGCACCTATCAAGTCTGCAATGTGATGGAGCCCAGTCAGAATAATTGGTTACGAACTGATTGGGTTCCCCGGGAGGGGGCTCAAAGGGTATATATTGAAATCAAGTTCACACTAAGAGACTGCAACAGCCTGCCAGGTGTCATGGGAACTTGCAAAGAGACTTTCAACCTTTATTACTATGAATCAAACAATGATAAGGAGCGTTTTATTCGAGAGAGCCAGTTTGCCAAGATTGATACCATTGCTGCTGATGAGAGCTTCACCCAGGTGGACATTGGTGACAGGATCATGAAGCTGAATACAGAGATACGGGATGTGGGACCACTCAGCAAGAAAGGGTTTTACTTGGCTTTTCAGGATGTCGGCGCTTGCATTGCTTTGGTGTCTGTTCGTGTCTTCTATAAGAAGTGCCCACTGACAGTTCGAAACCTGGCACAGTTTCCAGACACCATTACTGGGGCTGATACATCCTCTCTGGTGGAGGTTCGCGGCTCCTGCGTCAACAACTCGGAAGAGAAGGATGTGCCAAAAATGTACTGTGGGGCAGATGGCGAATGGCTGGTGCCCATTGGCAACTGTCTGTGCAATGCTGGCTATGAAGAACGTAATGGTGAATGCCAAGGTAGGATGAGCCATATTGTACTCTTCGTTAGGGCTTAGTTGAATGTGTAATTGAATCGGAGATGAGAGTAAATGGAATAAAGCCAGTAATTAGCAGCCCCTGTGAGATGTGGTGGGACAGAGGGGTTTAATGAAGAAGTCCAATAGCTCCAGGTGACAAGGCTAAGAATTACATAATGCAAACCAAATGATACTGTCATAATAGGCAGAAGGCGGAACACATTTTCTAGCAGGCACCTAAGTTTGAATTGGCTCATGATAGTCACCAAAATGTGAACAACTGCAAAACAGTGCAGTCAAGCTACTGTTGTTTAAAGAGGCAGATCTTTTAAGTTTTATCTGAAGTGAACTTTTGTTAAGCACAGTAAATTCTGGCAAAGTCTCCTTTGGATTACACAGTGGAGGAGGAACCAGTTGGGGAGGGGGGCAGCAGGAGTTTTAGTTGGATTATTTTCCCAGTTTGGGAAGGGGAAGTCTATGGTGTTTTACTTGTTGCAAATTTTTAGCACTAAATACCCTTTGATATTTGACACTGCTGCCTTTGTTAAATATTTTCATTTCTCAGAGGGTCTCTGTTGTCAGCTTAATAATAGAGGTGCTAGGATACTCTTAGAAATGCTAGAAGTCTTCACCCCACCCTCCCACACACACCATCCTGTGTGCTGCAGAATTAGGGATTAAAGTTTGTATGAAAGAGGGATTATCCTAAAAAGAAAAAAAAAAAAAAAACACCTCAATACCTGAGTTCTCTTCACCTCCCCTTTCTGGAAAAAGAAGTTGTAAAAGGTTAAGGAAGGAGAGAAGGGACTTTTTTATAAAATATCTTTAGCCTCAGCTTCTAAACTCTTGCTCGTGTAAGCATAAATTAAGATCAAACTTAAATGGATTCTTGTACAGGTCAGTGGGCTTAATTTTGCTGGGTGCTGAGTCAAAGGTGCTCAACGCCTTAGTGGATTTGGAACGATGTTTTTGGAAAAGGTTCTTTGGAGCCAGATGATTTTGCTTCACATCTTGGTCTGTTTTTTCATTAGGTCTCTTTTTTTTATCTTGAGACTGAGAACTTGGAGAGCAAGTAAGTGACTGCTTTTGTGCTAGACTCCTGAGAGAGCAGTGTCTTTTGTATGTCTGGTTTAGTTCTTTTAAATGATAATTTACAGTTGATATGAAGCTCTTTATTATGCATTGAAATTAAGCTTTGTCAGGAAAGAAGCACCAAGTATGAACTTTGGCCTTAATTTCTAGTGGTTTTGGTATATGGAAAAAGCCTAAGTGTGCCATATCGGCAACAAAATTACCATGGGCTGTAGAGAGAAAGGAAAGATGAGCAGCACAATGACAGGGCATCCTGTCTGGGGTATATTACTCTGGTTTTTCAAACCACTTGAGATGGGAACTTGAAAACGTGTATATTGTTAAACATGCGAACCTGTAGCTGTGGTGCTGCTGTTACTTTTTAATAGCTCAATAACTTCTGGGCAAAGCTTCTTGACACCTTTACAGCCTGGGTTGTGAGAGGAAGAAGTGAATGGAGTGGGGGGAGCATTTTGGTTTATTGCACAGAGATTATTTCGCCTTCTCCTGAAGGCCTGTTGGGTCAGTACTGGGTCACTCTGACACAGATCTGCCATTTTTTGGTGTCAGTGGCCCAGACGTGATGAGCTAATTGCCTAACAAATCCTGTGTTGTTCAAGGGAAATCTCTTGAGGTTTTGCTGGTGGGCAGTGGTGATAGTGGGATGCTCTTTTAAATTATTTCTGTGGTATTGGACTAGACCTTGGGGATGAATGTCAGCTTACCTACTGGCTGTCAGCTGCACCCGGGGAAGCTTGGACTCATGAAACCCAATTCTCTGTTTCCCAAGTAAAAGGAAGATCAGCGATGCCGTATTTACAAAGAAGGTAGAAATGTTCTGTCTCTTGGGCTCTCCAGAGTGAAGTTGGCCTGTACTAGTCGCTTTGAGAGGATTCAGGCTAGCATGTAATTTGAAAGCACTAAACCCATTTCGTCAGCAGTTATTTGTGGTTTCCTTTTCTCACAATGCCATTCTCCAGCCAGAACAGTTTACTGGCAAGCTGCTCTTCATGAATTCTTGAAGTTTACCAGAACTATTCAGCTTACTATCTGGTTTCCAGTGAGGCCATTAGAGCGTTTTGGCCTTTGACATTGCTGGATGAGGCCTCCCCTTTCCTCTCCCCACTTAACTTCATAGTTCAGCAAATGTTATGGTCCGGCAGGTGTTTGGAGGGGAGGAGGAGGATGAAGTGAGGAGCATTTCTGTGGCTTTGGTACAGAGGATTGGGAAGCAGGGGGAGAGGCTTTGAGTTTGGGAAAGGCTGTAAAAGGGTGCAGAGCTGGGACTGGAGCTGGTGAGCAGGTTCCACCTCAATTGTTTTTCAGTAGATTGACTGTGGCAGGACAAATAAGAGGAAAGGTCAGAGGTTGTCCACTTCCTCATCCATCTTCCCTCATGATCCTAGGGTCAGAGTTGGGATTGATTAAGATCTTAAATGTTTGACAAAAGCTCAGTAGGCAGAAATAGTTTAGGCCAGTGGATCAGGGCTTTGCACTTCTTGGGAGATCATGGGAGATGTCAGAGCTCCCTGTCCTCTCCTGGGACCTATACCCCTGCTGCAGAGCACTGAGGTGGACCAGTTGGCACTTGGGTTGCCCTAAAAGCTCCTTCAAGTTCACTCAACCTTCTGATTTTTAACTAATACATTTTCCTTGAGCTGCTTTTGCTTCATTTCTGAGGTGTGTGCGGAAAGCGTAATGGGAAGCCACTTTACATCTAAAGTGGTTCCTGTAACAGGAGTTAATGACTCTCTGACCTTGAACAGGATTTGTAAGAATTTGTCAGTGGTATGGAGGTGTTTGAATACAATGACCAAAAACTGTCTTTCCTCTTGACTGCTATTCCTTTTTTTTTCAGCTGACTTTATTGATGGCAATTGTCTTACTGAACATCTGTATGTGTGTGTATATATGCAGAAACTCAGGGCAGGAAGGGCAAGGAGCCAGGTATTTAATCTGTATTTATTTGGGAAACTTCACAGATGTGTCACAGGGGTGGTACAACAAAATTGGTCCTGATCAGTAGAAATATTAGGTAAGCACTGATTCTTTGCTTACAGCTGAATTTATAGCTGTGAACTTGATGCTAAAAAAAGCCAAATTTGCTCTTGGGTTTTTTTCTTATTACTATTTATTCTCACCCAAACCTCCTGCATTAATAGCTATCTATTTAGGAGAGCATAAATGTGGAATATTATTGATGGAGCATGACTATCCCAACTAATGGCACATCTCAAGGCTAAGGTAATTGGTGCTTTAGGGCAAAGTTGAGACATAAAGTAATTTTAAACTTCCCTTGTATGCATTATTGTTATGTAAATTGTTTTGTTACGTGATAATATAGTGTGGTTTGGATTTGATTACGATTTCCTTATGATAAAATGTGTATCTTTTTAACACAAAGGAGGAGGAGGGGAAAACAAGCAGGAAGGGAGAATAGACAGATTAAAGAAGCAATAGACTGTAGCCATCTGTGATGATTTTGATGCTGTGAAATTATAAATCTCAATTTTAGACCTGCCATTTAGTATAAATATGTGAGACAGTTGAGATTTTTACTGTGATATTGTAAAGGTTATGAGAGCCAACAGCTTTGTCTTCATCTACACTTGCTTTTTTGAGTTGTGAATTGGCCAATTGGCAGAAAATCCAGTGTCATGTAAAATACTACTCAGTCTTGGTTTCCTATCACTGCTGGTTTTAGAATTTTCCTTGGAACTTTGATAAGAGCATCCCTAAGAAGTAATAATTGGAATGATAAGATTCTTTTTATCTTGGAGGCTTTGAAGAGTGGCTGTGATCATTGAGAGCAGCAGTTCAGTTTACATCAGAAGGGTACAGTCTAATTATATTTTTTTCTGTGATAAGATTTTTAAATGGTAGGTTTTGTAGGGGTGGGGAAGTGAAGTAATTTGTGTGTACTTTCCCATTTTAGTCATAGACAACTTTTTTTTTGTCAGAATAACACTGATGAACAGTCTGACTGCACAAAAGGGTAATCAGAAGGGTGACTAAGACTGTGCAGACTTGAGATTGCTAAAGGATTTTTTTTAGGTTGATTATTTTTGGCAGGGGAAAGAAAAATGCACAGACTCAACATGTTACGTTTTAAAAGAAGCTGAGAAGACGGAAGCTACCAGGAGGGGCATGGGAGGGGTGCTGAAACACAGTCTGTCTGAACAAAATTTAGTTGTTTCTCTTCTCTGCTGAAGGAGTGATTTGGTTATGTTATGTTCTCATGTAGCTCAATAGATCTTCCAAGGGTTGCTCCCTCTGTGATTTTTGTACCACCTGGTGCATTTGAAAATCTCTGTTTAAACATAGTCATAGGCTCTGTATTGCTTTCTTCCTCCCTGGCCCCCTCAGAAGTCAAGCTACAGTTGCCAAGCAATTGTCCCTTTATATATCCTTTGGAGAAAGGCTGGAATTGCTTCCTTCTGAATTTGTCAGTTTCTGCTGGTACATAGGGGAGCAATAGCTGGTCCTTATTCCGCGTGTTACTAGTAAAAGGCATGGTCCTCAGAATTGAAGCCAGATGAGCTGTTCTGCTGGTATGAATTTCATGGCACGTCTGGGTAGTCTTTTGAGGGGCATACAGACAGTCTTCTGGGTTTTGTGTGTGTTCTTTTATTTAAAAAAAAAAAAAAAAGGCAAAACAACTTTCCAGATAACTCATCTTGTGTGTGATGACTTCAGTATTTAGATCTTGGCTGGGTAAGGTTTATTATCTGTCTAATAATATGCTCCACTGAGCTTGGTCTTTATTGCGCTTGTGAGAAGTGATTAAAGAAATGCTCAGCAGTCCAGTCTTTTGAGACTATGTCAGAAAGCCCCCCAAACTTGTGAGATAAATATCTTATCTGGTTTCGTTCCAATATGCATTATTTGATATGTTGGGGAGGGGGGGAGCAGGTGAGGTCAGACAGTTTT